ACCCTTGCTTAAGCAGTTAGCTTTGGCTCAGCAGGTACAAAAAGAGAAGTGAACAAATTCTGACATGCTACATCACGTTTGTCACAAAAACAGTGAAAGTTCAAGTGACTACAGTTAAAGGAACAGATATTTTTAGTTGTTACAACATGAAAAACTATGTTGAATTAACACCTGCCAAGCAGCATACCAAGTTACCTTTCCTTTTAACAAATGTACATGCAACAAATGCACTCTGTTAGCTTCTTTCATGGAAGCTAATGGACTGTGCCAGACTTTTAACCAAAAGCAAGTTTGCAATAGTTCAAACATCCAGCCCATCTTTCTTTCCCCTCCTCATGCTCAGAATCGGTGGATTATAACATCATTGCACATGTAGAAAAATAGCACTACCGGGTTAGTCCAACTTTAATTGATATGTGGCTGACCTTTTGCTTCATTCTTCCATTTCAGGGCTCTGCTACCCTTTTTTAAATTCATTTCTGATAAGGCCTAAATTATGGTTTTTGCCTTGCTTTGAATGGCAGGGCAGGGTATCATACAGCAGTCCTCAGTCATCTATAATACTGACAAGCCACTTTTAATTCTGACATGCACCAATGCAAAAATAACTGGGATGGGCAGGTAGCAGGGTATCCATTTCAAACTCAGGACTCCTGTCAGCTGAAAAGAAAGACAGCAAACATCAGCTAAAGGCAAACCAACAGGATTTCCTTTCAGAATAAGGAGTGTTTTATTTACAGTGGCTCGGGATCACCCTAAGGCAGCCTCTAGATTTGTGTTTTCACTACATAATTAACCCAGGCTGTTACTCTGGTGTCCTCAACCCTTCTCCCCTCGATATAAATACTCTCATGAGAGACAGAGGTAGTGGTTTTAAAGCTAAGCTAGTTGACAGGGCTGGAATTCTTGCTTTCACTCAAACTGGTAACCCAACTACTTCACAGCAAAGACCAAGGCTAAACAAATTCTTCTCTAGTACAGACAAGTTCTCTCAAATCAGTGGGAAGGAATCAGAGCAGTTCTTATTACTTCAGGAGAAAAAATAAATAAATAATAATAATAGGATACATCCCCAGAAACCCTGACGTACAGGGGAGTGAGCACCATAAGGATGCAACAACAGGGGGCTTTGCACTGTGGTTGCTTGTCCCTGGGTTGGCTTAAACTGGATTCCAATAACCCAAAAAGATGCATCCTAAACTGCAACATGGAAGAATAAGCTAGAGCCAGTTGCCACAAAGCAGCAAAAAAGAAAATCAAAGCCAGCCTTAACTTCTATCCTAATTTTACTAGAATATCCACTGGAATCATTTCTCTGAATAAATGTTGCAAAACTTCTGTAAACAGGAACAACTCATTTGTTCTGTAAAGGCCCTTACTGAAGCCCCGAAAAAGTTATGAAAACTAGGAGATAAGACAAGCAGACAATAGAAAAAGAACAGTCGCTCTTTCCCAACAAGAG